ATTTTCGGAAACCCCCACATTGCCCTGGGAAGCTTAAAGTCAAGAGACCTTGACAGACCTCGAAGCTTGAAGATCCCGCAATTCAGGCAACAAGGGTTTTCGATCATTGACCTGCCTGAAGCAGCGTCGACTGTCGACGAGCGGGCAGCTTTCCCCTTTGAAGTGGTCCTTCCAATATCATGAGAGGTTTTGGAGCTTTTTGAGTGTCTGCAGCTCCGCTCCCTGAGCACCTGAAGTATTGAACGTCCCGTTCTTCTGTGGCCGTAGCCCGTGAGCGTCTGTCCGAAGGGCGCTTGACCATGCGATGTGCTCCCCGACCTACGATTACTGGTGCCGCGAATGGTGTCCTTTGTCGGATTATTGTCTTGGTTTTGCCTCTTGCCTGGTCGTGTTGTGTGCAGCATGCCAATTACAAAGTCCTACGCCCCAAAGACTAAACCACAATATCAAGTATCTCCAATTTCGAAGCGTCGCTTCCTCCCTTGAGGAGCTAGCTTCAATCGTCGCAGACGACCGGAGCGGCTACAGGCCTGGGCCCGGGTCCGGGTCAGTTGGAGGTCGGTCCTTGGGCCCCGGGGTGGTGGGTCCCAGAGGGGTTTGGGCCGTGTTGAGGCCGGGGCCGATTGTAGCGCAGAGAGCTTTAGGCAGTATACGCTGCTCCCATTGCTCCTATAATTCTTGGAAGTTGAGGGTGCGGTCCACCGACCAGGTGGAGTTCAGGTCCAGTTCAGTTTGTGTTGGGTGGGGCCGGCCTATGCTTCCCGGTTCGGGGATTAGGCCGGGGTCGTTCGGGCTTGCAGGACAGCGAGGAGCGAAACTAAAATGAGCAAATGAGCTACCAAAAGACGCAATGTGCTTCAAACTTCTGCGGTGTGTGTGTGTGTGGCAGTTCTCAAAGCATCCTGCAGTGATGTGCGAACTGACAGGAGACCGTCACATCATAGTTGAGGGTTGAGGGATGTGAGGGTCTTTTTTGCTTGCTTCCGGGTTGTGGGATTTCCGCGACTCGTTTCTGAAGCATTTTGCTTGTTGCTCTCAGGAGTTTGGCAACCAGGCTCTCCGGATTTGGAGCTGCGCTGCTCGGCCGCAATGTTATCTCCGGATCTCCGGACACAGCGGCACGCAAGAACCCCCCAAAAGGAGCCCCAAAGCCCAAGGCATAGTAAAGCCTGGAGTCTAGAGGTTTTCTCCGAGACTCTGAGAGCGTCTCCTGCTGCTTGCGCCCGTCGAAGGTCCCCCACGAACAGGCTCGGCTCTTGGGATCAGAGTGCTGAGTTCAGCGAAGGTTCACAGTGTGTGCTTCTTTTTCAGGAAGATGCTTTTCTCTCTCTCCATTCCTTTGCTGGCGACGAAGCTAGTGGCCCAAGTTGCCAGGCTGCCGGACACAGCGTACGGCACGATGTCGATGAGCCCATACAGCTATCTGGGCGTGGGCTTCTCGGAACCAGGGCCAGAGACCATCTGTGCTCGAATCCGTCCCTGGCTGTTGCCCAAGGTGCCTCTCTCCGTGCCTTGAGCAGGCTGCTGCCGTCTCTGAATCTCGACATGTCTGCTTTCGCCTTTTTGGCAAGAGCAGTTCGCCTAGAGGGCGTCGAATTATCTACTTTTGCTTTTCTTGGCGCCACAGCTCCCGAAGGCGAGCCTGTGGTTGGGCTTGGGACCCTGACAGCTCTCAAGTGATGATGTCGGATCCATGGATTTGGGGTTCCATGCCGAGCCAACCTCTTTTGTAGGAGCTGCGCAATGTCGCGTTGTGTGCCCTCAGCTTCTCTTGGAGGCTGAAGGCCTTTCACTTGTTTTACGATGCCACCTGAGGCGGAGGGTGTGAACGCTTGTTTGGAGAAGTGCACAACCCCAACACCTGGACCCTAGCTGAGCCCGAAGTCAACTTGTTGAAGCTTTTGGAGGCAGTGGGTGGGGGGGGCCACCAGGCCCTACACCATCTCAGACCCTTTGTCCGCCGGTTGGAACATGCGCACATCGGGCTGGGGTTCTGCTTCACGGCAAGAGTCCAAGTCCGAGATCTTCTGCCAGCATTCACGCGCGAATCCACCGTGCTCCCAGGCCTAGGCTTAGCTTAAGGCAGCTTGACTCCCCCTTTCGTCGTGAGCAACGACGTCCTTACATGATTAGCATCAAGACCTTCCCACACCTCCCCACGCATCTCATGCTTCCCATGCTTCCCATGCTGGCCCGTGCCCACGCCCCTGCTGCGGCCGCAAGGGCGCTCGGAAGGCTCGGCGCCTGTCGATGGCGGCAGCTGTCCACCCAGGCCTCGGGGTTTAGATGGCCAGTAGTCAGTAGTGGTAGCGAACCTACGGGGCCTGCAGAAAACACGGGCCGTTTCGGGGTTGCTGTGTGTGCATTTGGCTTCGTCAACAGCTTTCCAAGGCCCGCAGCATCTTGATGTCCTGAGCAGGGTTCCGGCATATTCTACTACAGTAGTCCTTGTTGCATTGTTGCAATCAGCACCGTCTGCAACGGCCCTCTGAAAAACACCGTGGTAAGTCATCTTGTCCCGACGCGGCCGACAGACGCATGCACCCGCAGCCTCGAACGAGCCTTCCCAAGGCCCTAAACCCTAACACCCATTATCCTCACACAGCCGCGAGTTCTGTTGAGCTTGGTTGCAAGACGGAAAAAGGTGTTCGAAACAAGATCTCTAGACCCCCAAACCCCAAACCCCAANNACCCTAAAGCCCAAAACCCAAACCCCCAGCGCCCCTAAAACAGGCCTCCACAGTGGGCCGGCTCTACTTCCAAAGTGACCAGGCCCGGAGCCGAGAGCTCTTTCGCCTTCTCTCACGGCACAGGAGGACGAGTAGAAGAGGGGTGGTGAGACCAGGGGGCAGTGTCCGAAGTGCCTGCAGTCGTAGTAGTGGTAGTAGTGGT